ACTGCAACATCCACCTTCTGGGTTCAAGCGATTCTCCTGACTCAGCCTCCCAAGTAGCTGGGATTATGGGCATGTGCCACGATGCCTGGCTGATTTTGTATTTTTAATAGAAATGAAGTTTCACCGTGTTGGTCAGGCTGGTCTCGAACTCCTGACCTCAAGTGATCCACCTGCCTCGGCCTCCCAAAGTGGTGGGATTACAGGCGTGAGTCACCGTGCCTGGTTGGTTGTGTCATTCTTATTTTAGTTCTTTGGTTACTTCTTTAGATAAATCTGGACTCCTAACGCACACTCTATAGTTCCCCCAAGAACTGGCTCTTTTGCTGCCTCCTTATTTTTGGCCATATTGCTGGCCATACAGGAGGAACCTGACTTGCAGACCTGACTATCACTTTTACTACCAAAAGTTTTGGTCAGTCACCCTCTTTACTCAGATCCCAGTTGAATGGATCTGTCAGAAAAGAGACACTTGTCTAGGGTCTATATTAGTTAAGAGGCTATTTGTAATTCGCTTCTCGGCCTGCATGGTTGTGGGAGCAAGAACGGGATCAGTGAGCCACAGTGAACCCCATTATATGCCAGGCACTGAAAAAGTCAAATAAAACAGTCCATGCTGGCAATGGGGAAAAGAGGAAGAATTTGCAAGGGAATTCATGATGTAGAGGGCCCAAAATAGCAGTAGGGAAGGAGAGGAGGAAGAAAAATAAGTGAGCCAGGGAGAAGAACTTGACTGTAGTGGTGGTGGGTGTTTCAGACCTGTGATATATGACCAGTCATCATTTAAGTGGCTTTGGGCTGTGGTGAGCTTTCCCAGGGCCAGAGAATAAGCCAGATCCATACCAAGAAATAGAACAGATGGGCAGAGTCTTCCACATTCTACTTGGAAGAGTAACCTGGTGGGAGAATAGAAGAGAATCCAGCAATAGAGGGTACAGACGTTAGTCTTCAGCAGCTCTACTCCCTGCCATTTCTCCAACTCTTTGCAAACAGGAGGTGTGTTTCATAGCCATAGATCCACATCTTATTGAGTTTTTTAATATGTCAAGAAAATGCTGAGCACGGTTCTCATCATATATAGTTAGCATCACATATAGTTCTCACCACAGCCTATGGTTATCAGTATCCCACTTTACGAAGAAGGAAACTGACATTCACAGTACCCAACTGGTATAGTTGAACCTGGAATTGACCAGACTGTCCCCTCCAAAGCCTGGATTCTTATTCCAGGAGGGCCATCAAGAAAGGTGACAAACACAAAGCCATTTTCCCAGAGCCCTTGGGACTGAACAGGTCAAGGGTCCTCTGAAGACTGTCTGGATTCAGGATGCAAGGGTGGGAGTGCAGCATGTGCCCACAATCCACAGTGTGTTCTGTGGCTAGATCCTTGCCAAATGCAACCACCTCCCTTCTGCTGAATTCTGTAAAGATAAAAGAGTCTACACCAAAAAGCATGGCCGGAAAGTTAGGGGAGGGCTCCAAGCTTTCCTGGTCTTGGCCCTGGTCAAACGATCCATCAGCCAGAAAAACCCATGTAGGACCTCAACAACTAAGGATTACTGTTTCATTGTATTTCAGAATGTGTAGTTTCGTAAGATCTGGATCTTATTTCTGGTGTTAGTTTCTCAGTCCACATGTGTGGAACAGACTCCAACCCTTACCACACAGAATAGGAACTTTGGTCTATTTGGGGAGGTGTGGGCATTACATTGGACTAAAAGTTATGACAGGGTTTGCTATCACGACTTAAGTTGATCCTCACTGAATTTGTTATTCCACCATCATTATCTCACTGTCTCAGAGCAACTTACACATTTTTTATTTTGGCATTTTACTGTAAAAATGACTGTTCTCTATGTCTTCTTCCACAGCATGAAAACCAAATTATTCACAGAGATCTGAAAGCAGAAAATGTATTCTATACCAGTAATACTTGTGTGAAGGTGGGCGATTTTGGATTCAGCACAGTAAGTAAAAAAGGTGAAATGCTGAACACTTTCTGTGGGTCTCCTCCCTATGCTGCACCTGAACTCTTCCGGGACGAGCACTACATCGGCATTTACGTGGATATCTGGGCCTTGGGGGTGCTTTTGTACTTCATGGTGACTGGCATCATGCCATTTCGGGCAGAAACTGTGACCAAACTAAAAAAGAGCATCCTTGAGGGCACATACAGTGTACCGCCCCACGTGTCAGAGCCCTGCCACCGACTCATCCGAGGAGTCCTTCAGCAGATTCCCATGGAGAGGTACGGGATCGACTGCATCATGAATGATGAATGGATGCAAGGGGTGCCATACCCTACACCTTTGGAACCTTTCCAACTGGATCCCAAACATTTATCGGAAACCGGCACTCTCAAGGAAGAAGAAAATGAAGTCAAAAGCACTTTAGAGCATTTGGGCATTACAGAAGAGCATATTCGAAATAACCAAGGGAGAGACGCTCGCAGCTCAATCACAGGGGTCTATAGAATTATTTTACATAGAGTCCAAAGGAAGAAGGCTTTGGAAAGTGTCCCAGTCATGATGCTACCAGACCCTAAAGAAAGAGACCTCAAAAAAGGGTCCCGTGTCTACAGAGGGATAAGACACACATCCAAATTTTGCTCGATTTTATAAATTGCACTAGACTGCTTATAATTAACCGAGATCATTATTGCTGCTTCTAAATTTTTTTCAAGGACAACTTGAGTGGAGACATTTTTGTAATTTTTAAATAAACTTAAATTTGAGATATGCATTTTTTTCTCCAAAAGGTCTATTAGCTCGGATTCTGGCTTGATTTGGGATCTTGTTTTATTATCAAATTTCAGCATTCATTCAATCAAGAAATATTTTTCCAGTGCCTCCTGTGTGCCAGACACTATTTAAGGTGCTACAGAAATAGCAAGAAATAAATAGGCAAGGAGTCTCATGTGTGGGACATTCTAGCCCAGGACAAAGGTACTAACAAGTACATTTTTTAAAAAAGAAAAAGATCAGTGATAGATGCTATGCAGAGAATCCAAAAAGGGTGATCTGATATCAGAGGCTTGCTACTTTGGATTAGTCGTTAAGGAAGGTCACTTTGAGTACATATCAGTTTAAGATCTGAATGAGAAGCAGGAGTGACTCTTACAAAATGCCAGAGCATTCCAGGCAACTAGGGGTTTCAGACTCAGTTCCCCTCAAAACAGAGCCTAAGACAAATGATTCCATGTAGAGCAGTTTATTTGGGAAGTGATCCCAGAGCACAGGAGTGAAGTACCGGGGAAACAGTGAAAGCTAATACACAGACACATTAGCAAGTTGGCTAGTGCTACAGTTTCTGGTACTTGGTTTTGCAGGATCCTCAGAGGAGCCTGATGAAACACATCTCAGGTGTCTGCCCTGGGTATGGAAGGGGAAAGCATTTAACCACAAGCTTTTGCTCACCGCTGATCAAGGGTGGCCCTTGGTGTCATTTGCCCTGCACTTCCAGATTGGGCTGTGTGAGTGCCAAGTGGGTTCCCTATGCTTCCCTTGCCTTCATGTCAGAGAAGTCTTGGAGCAGGAGGGAAGAGGTACACCACCAGTATGATACCTCCTTTCTGTGCCTGCTTGTCCACTGGCATGGGGAGCCCAAAGTGACCATGTGACACTTGTAGATTTCAATTCACTGGAACCCTTATCAAGTCCCTTGATGAAAGCATCCCTGATCCCCTGGGAACCAAACCTTTTAATTTAGCCTAGATTGTAGAAAAAAAGAATAGAAATTAATCAAGTGCGTCACCAATTGTGTGATGGTGACAGGGGTCAATCTACTTCCACCTAGTGGTTTCCAGACCTGTGTGTTTTAATGATAGGGACATGTATCAGTCATTATTAAAGCACGTTACCGAATCCTGGAGGACAGCACCCCAACCCTGCAGGCTGCTGTCTCATCTCCGGTGTCTTAGCTGAACCATTCCATTGTTCTGCTTATGTTGGCTGCTTCTGGTGTTGAGGTAAGATGAGGGGATCCCGTTGTTATGTGCCCATCGCACCACCTCCTTTATCAAAAAAGTGGTCCTTGAGGCAATGTTTGAGATATCATAACAGTGAATCAGGTATTCTGTATGTCTTAGTGTGCTTGTATGGAAAGACACATTGCAGGCAGAAAAGGCAAACCCGTACCCTGAGATGTCAATTCCAATAAGGATGACTCATTCCTGGGCCCATCTGAATTCGTGATTCCATGGATCTGATAACGCCCAGCTCATATGTTAACAGCTCTGTTTACCTAGTCCTTGGTATCTCATAATTTGGTTCTCAGCCTCCACTGGGGCCCAGTAGCACATCAGGAGTCTGAGTAGTTCTCTGTTGCAGGAAGCATGGCGTTACTCCAGGATCCTACAGAGTTGTGCTGTTATCTCCTATTGGGGCTTTCCAGAGGCCCCGCACAATATTTTTAACTGCCACATACACGGCCTGAATAGCAGTTTGTTCAGAAGCCAAAACTGCTGTAATCTTTTTTTTTTTTTTTTAAATGGGATCCACTTGAAACTGGCATTAAATGGGTGAGAGGAATACACCAAATACAATATATGTGCTTCCAAAGTCCAGAGGGACCTACTAAATCCTATGCCTCTATCTTAGTGTTAAGAGGTTGGAAGATACAAGAAATTGTTCTTTACTATAGAAGAAGTATCTAGGCATGCCTCAACTCATTGGTCTTCTAAACTCTTCATCAATGTGGCATGCCCCAGATTCTTCATAGAGTCTATAATCCACACTCCGGCACATGTAAGCCTTACTAGGGCATTTGTAATACTTGCCGCTTCCTGATAGCCAATTCCCCTAGCATGCTGTCACAATATAGTGGGCTGGCATGATGTCCTGTAGAATGTAAAGATGATCAAGGTCCTTTTGGATTATATTGTGATATAGAAAAGGAGATTTAAGATTTTTGGGGGCAACAGAGTAAATGAGAATTGCCGGCCATCCCAGAGAAATGTGAACTGCTTTTGATCTTCCTTTCTGATGGAAATTTAGAAGAGTGAATTTGCCAAATCCATAGCTGCATATCAAATGCCAGAGGATGCCAGTAAAGATACCACATCCAATACAGCAGCTACAACTGAGACTAGCAGTAGTCCGCCATCATTCTCCATTATCTATCTGCTCTTTTTCAGGAGTCTGATGGTAACTTAAATGAGATTATGATGGAGCCCATTACGCTTGCATCCCTAAAATTTTTTGATGGTGACACTGATGTCTGCCATTCCTCATGTGGATTGCTCATAATTTATTAACATGGCCAGGGAGAGGTTTCCTCTTCCTCCCATAATGGTTGTTACTTCACAGGTCTAAGACCTCCATGGGGATCTAAGTATATTGATCCCAAATATATACTTAGAGATTGGGAAAATAATTGCAAAATGGGAACCATCATGTGATAGACTGGCCAGGACTCCCTTTATCATATGGTTTCCATAACCCCTCATCTACATACAAAGCCATAATAGTATCCAGTTCTGAAAAATTCTGGGCATGTACATCATATATACTTGTGAAAGCAAGGCCTTTCCTCAAGACCAGTCCTCCTCTTCATTGTGCACTGGATCTGTAAATTGACTTAGATCTAGAAGCTGATGAAGAGACCGTGATTTTCCCATTGTGACAGGCTACCTTAGCTTTACGCTCACCAGTTTTCCTTGTTTTTTCTTTTTTTGGTCATACTAGTCAAGTAACATACCAGTCAGCTGTCTCCCAAAATGATTTATTAGCCATTGTCACAAAGCCCTGCAGATCAAGGCAGCCTGATTGATTTCCACTCCAGCCTTACTGTTTATTTTATTGTGTCCACCTCGCCTCTGACATTTAAGTGATAATACATGACCTCTACCATTCTAGTCTCATCATCATCTCCACTGATGATATCATGCTCAATTCCATGGCAGCATTTCTTACCATCAACACCTGCCTGCAATGGGCAGCCACCACTGAACTTTTCTTAGGTGCTGCCGCAACCCTCACCAGTGTATTCCTTTTTTAAAAAAATTATTTTTTATTCATACACAATTGTATGTATTTATGGGGCACATGTGATATTCTGATACATGTATACAAGGCATAATGATCAAATCAGGGTATTTAGGATACCCCATAACCTCAAACATTTATCATTTTTTGGTGTTAGGAATACTTCAACTTTTCCAGCTATTTTGAAATATACAATAAATTATTGTTAACTACAGTCACCCTGCTATGCTATCAAATAGTATAACTTATTCCTTCTAACTGTATGTTTGCACCCATTAACCAACCTGTCTTCATCCTCCACCCCTACCATCCTTCTCAGCTTATTAGCACCATTCTACTCTCTACCTCCATGAGATCAACTTTTTAGCTTTTATATACAAGAACATGTGATATTTGTCTTTCTGTGCCTGGCTGATTTCACTTAACCTAATGACCTCCAGTTCCATCCATAATGCTGCAAATTACATGATTTCATTCTTATTTATTTATTTATTTATTTGAGACAGAGCCTCACTCTGTCGCCCAGGGTGCAGTGGTGCCATCTCAGCTCACTGCAACCTCTGCCTCCCGGGTTCAGGTGATTATCCTGCCTCAGCCTCCCAGTAGCTGGGATTACAGTCACCTGCCACCACACCCAGCTAATTTTTGTATTTTTAGTAGAGATGGGGTTTCACCATGTTGGCCAGGCTGGTCTCGAACTCCTAGCCTCAAGTGATCCACCCACCTTGGCCTCCCAAAGTGCTGGGATTACAGGCATGAGCCATCACCCCCAGCTGATTTCATTCTTTTTTATGGCTGAATATTCCATTGTGTTTATATACATTTTCTTTATCCATTCATCCATTGATGGAAACTTATGTTGGTCCCATCTCTGCTATTGTGAATAGTGCTGCAACACACATGGGAGAGCACAGGTATTGCTTTGATATACTCATTTCCTTTCCTTTGGATAAATTCCCAGTAGGTGGACTGCTGAATCCCACGGTGGTTGTATTTTTAATTTTTTCAGAAACCTCTATATTGTCTTCCATAATGGCTGTACTAATTTACATTCCCAACTGTGTATAAGAATTCCCTTTTCTCTAGAAAAATACAAAAAGAAAACAAAAAATTGCCTTTTCTCTGCATCCTCGCCAGCATTTGTTACTGTCCTTTTGATAATAGTTATTCTAACTGGGGATGAGATGCTATCTCATTGTGGTTTTGATTTGCCTTTCCCTGATAATTAGTGATGTTGAACATTTTTCCACTCACTTGGCCATTTGTATGCCTTCTTTTGAGAAATGTCTTTTTAGGTCCTTTTCCTACTTTTTAGTGGGATTATTTGTTTTTTTGCTGTTGAGTTCCCTGTATATTCTGGATATTAGTCCCTTGTCAGATGAAAAGTTTGCAAACCAGTGCATTTTATATTGCCTTAGTGATGGCAGTGTCTTCCTGAGGAACGTAGTTAGACGGTTGTTCAGTCTCACATAATGAATCCATTTTAACATTCACACCTCCTGGAACTTTCCAACCCTTTCTTCAATACTATACCAAGGCAGTTCCGCCATCTTCACCTCATTTACTGTGTGCTATAATAATATCCAAGCCTCAGCAGCCATCCCAACAGAATATTATGATCAAATTCAGGTGTTGTTCACTTCTAAGTCATAGGTAAACATTCCTATAGTAATTTTTTTTTTTGAGACTGAGTTTCACTCTTGTCGCCCAGGGTGGAGTGCAATGGAGCGATCTTGGCCCATCACAACCTCCCGGGTT